TTCTTGATTTGATTTGTCCTCACGCGAGTGTGTCCTCATCCTGGTTTCGTCTTACTTGCGTGTTTCTGAAGTAGAGCAGGTACGACCGGATTGAGCAGCTCATCTCGTCAAAGGGCCTTGGCCTCTCCGTGCGCCGCCGTCGTCGCGGTCGCGGTCGCGGCCGTCGTCTCGGCCGTCGTCGTCTTTGCCGCCGTCGCCGCCGCCGTCGTCGTGTCGCCGTCGCCGGTCGTCGTCGCCGCCGCCGTCGCCGCTGTCGTCGTCGCCGTCACCCTCGCCGTCGTCGTCGTCGTCGTCGTCGTCGTCGTCGTCGTCGTCGTTGTCGGCCAGGCTCTTGGCGCCTCTCGCCCTGGCCGCGGCATGCCTCGGGGGCGCTGGCGTGCCCCGCGGCGGCTTCCTGGGGGGCCCCCTGCGCCGCGTGGCTGCTTCTGATGGGCCACTTCTTCACCACCACCTCCTCCTCCTCCTCCTGCCCCTTCTCCTCCTCCTCGCCCTCCTCCTCCTGCCCCTCCTCCTCCTCCTCCTCCTCCTCCTCCTCCTCCTCCTCCTCCTCCCTCTCCTCCTCCTCCTCCTCCTCCTCCTGCCCCTCCTCGTCCTCCTTCTCGCCCCTCCTCCTCCTGCCCCTCCTCCTCCTCCTCCTCCTGCCCCTCCTCCTCCTCCTCCTCCTCCTCCTCCTCGTCCTCCTTCTCCTCACTCCTCGAGGATGACGAGGTGCGCATTGAATTCTCACGTCTGGACTTTCGCTGGGTGCGGGTCTCCACGAGCACGTACGAGATACCGCCACCTCTTGGTGACGGATCTGAGGGAGGGACCGAGCATGGCCTTGGGCTCGGGAACCTGGAGGAGGAGGCTTCAGGCGCAAAGGGGGCCTGGTGGTTTTTAAGCGTGATCTTTTTCAGCTCCAGACTGGATGATTCGGCGGGCTTTCGGCCCTCCGAGGGTTTCATGCGTCTCTCTCTCTCTCTCTCGCTCTCTCTTCTGTGTGTTTTCGTTCGTAGCGCATTCCTCTTCCTCCTCATCCTTCTCCGTCTTCCTCCTCATCCTGTTCCCGATCATCCTCCTCTTCCTCCTCCTCCTCCTCCTCCTCGTCCTCCTCCGCCTCCTCCCCCTCTCCCCCTTTTCTGAAGGAATGCCAGAACTTTGGGAAAACCATTGGAAAAACCAAAAAAACCAAAGAAACCTAAGTGGTGGAGACGGAAAGTTTAGGAAACCCATTGGAAAAACCAAAAAAAACCAAAAAAAACAAAGATTCCACAGAGAGTGCGGGGAACACCCGTCCGAAGGGACACGTCCAAAGGGAATCCCCGCACTCTCTGTGGAATCTTTGGTTTTTTTGGTTTTTTTGGGTTTTTCCAATGGGTTTCCTAAAGTTTTCGTTTCCAGCACTTAGGTTTCTTTGGTTTTTTTGGTTTTTCCAATGGTTTTCCCAAAGTTGTTGCATTCCTTCAGAAGGGGGGGATGGGGGAGGAGGGGGAGGAGGAAGAGGATGGAGAGGAGTCGCAGGGAGGAGGTCGCGGGAGGGGTTCGTACCTGCGGCGCTGAACCCTCCCTCTGTGATGCATTCCCACGGAATCCTGTTGAGAGGCCTTCCATGAGAATCCCTTTGGGGTGCTTTCCAAAGGAATCCTGTTGTGAGGCTTTCCAATTGGATCCCTCTGTTGTGCTTTCCAATGGAATCCTGTTGGGAGGCTTTCCAATGGAATCCCTTTGTGGTGATTTCCAAAGGGTTCCTGTTGTGAGGATTTCCAAAGGGTTCCTGTTGTGATGGTTTCCAAAGGGTTCCTGTTGTGAGGATTTGTGTTCCAGCGCCATCCTCCCAACGGTAGCAGTTTGGATTGCGGCTTTCCAATAGAATCCCTCTGTTGCGCTTTCCAAAGAAACCATGTTGGGAGGCTTTCCAATGGAACTCCTTTGTTGTGCTTTCCAAAGGATTCCGATTGTGAGGCGTTCCAGTAGAATCGCTGTGTTGCGATTTCTGTAGGATTCCGAATGTGAGGCTTTCCCATAGAATCCCTCTGTTGTGCTTTCCAAAGGAATCCTGTTGAGAGGCTGTCCAATGGAACTCCTTTGTGGTGCTTTTCAAAGGGTTCCTGATGTGAGGCTTTCAAATGGAATCCCTTTGTTGCGCTTTTCAAAAGATTCCAATTGTGAGGCTTTCCCATGGAATCCCTTTTGTGTAGTTTTCCAAAGGATTTCCTTTGTGACGCTTTCCAATTGAAACCCTTTGTAGCATTTTCCGAAGGGTTCTTGCTGTCAGGCTTTCCACTAGAATCCCTTTGGGGTGCTTTCCAAAGGGTTCCTGTTGTGAGGCCTTCCAACAGACTCCCTTCGGGGTGCTTCCCAAAGGAATCAGATTGTGAAGCTTTCCAATGTAATCCGATTGTGAGGCTTTCCCATAGAGTACCTCTGTGGGGCTTGCCAAAGGAATCCTGTTGAGAGGCTTTCCAATGGTACCATTGTGGGGCTTTCCAAACGAATCCTGCTGAGAGGCTTTCCAATAGAATCCTTCTGTGGCGCTTTCCAACAGATTCCGATTGTGAGGCGTTCCAATAGAATCCCTCTGTGGTGCTTTCCAAAGGAATCCTGTTGAGATGCTTTCAAATGGAATCCTTTTGTACCGCTTCCCAAATGAAGACCTGTTGAGAGGCTTTCCAATGGAACTCCTTTGTGGTGCCTTTCAAAGGGTTCCTGTTGAGAGGCTTTCACATGGAATCCCTTTGTGGTGCTTTCCAAAGGGTTCCTGTTGTGAAGGTTTCAAATGCTCTCGGCTAGGTGGGAGAAGGATCGGCGCAGGTTTGACGCAGGACAATGGAAACATGTAGAGAGACAGGGAGAGAGAGAGAGAGAAACGGAAACACATCGAGAAAAATAATGAGAGAGAGAGAGAGAAGGAGTCGTAGAGAGAGACTCGCATAGGTTTTCTTATTAAAAAACAACACGCACAAAAACCACCAGGCCCCCTTTGCGCCTGGAACCGAGGAGGACACTGAGCTTTCTCACGCCTATCGGTGTACGATTGTGGAGGAGGGAGGAGTATGTGGCGGCATCTTTTTATGATTAGGAAAGGTTTGATGGAACATGTTCGCCATCGCCATAATAGTCGCAATCTCAGTCACGAGTTGACGAAGAACAAATAATGCATTCTATGCCGACGCATCTTCAAGTCCCAGACGACAGTTGCTTGGCACCTGCCAGGTTCTGTTCTCAGAGGTAGCCGTGGTTCTTGTGAGTCTCGTTCGCTGATGCCACGGTTGGAGGCACGAGATTAGATTTGTCAATTATGCGCGTATGAGGGGCGTGATCTTGACGATCTCCAGAGTCATTCATTGGCTCATCGACCATTTGGTGTTGTTGTTCGGCCTCCCCAATTTGACCATGTCAGAGGCACAAAAAGACGTCACCAGGCCGCGGTGGATGCAGACGAAGAGGACGGCGGCCGAGGCCTCGTTCGGATCGGACCCGAAGGCAAAAGGCGCGGCCAGCGCTGCAGCGGTCGCGGGCAAGGGCAAGGGCAGGAAGACGAAGGGCGACCAGCACATCCGCGCCCTCCTGTTCGTGCTCGCGAAGCTCGTCCTCGCAGGCGCTCGGCAGTTGGCCTCGCTCGAAACGCCACGTTACGAGACGTCCTTCGTGCCAGAAAACCAGGCGGGGTCCCTCGGGCAGACGTGCATGGCGGCGGGCGCAGAGTACGACGAAGGCTCGAAGTTCTTGCGCGGCCAGGAGGACAAAGGCGAGGACGTGGACTTGAAGGGGAGGGGCCCCCCCGTACGTGACGGTGCTCACCCACGTGCTGATGCGCGTGCTGGAGGCGAGTTCGGAGCAGGGCCTGAACCCCGACCCGAAGATCTACCAGCCGATCCGCGAGTATTGGGAGACGGTCATCCTCGAGCGCTCCCCGTCGGAGATCTCGGTGGACGCGGTGCACTTCCTGTGCCGCAGGGCGGGCAAGGGGCAGGAGCGGGGCAGGCTGTTCTTCGCGATGTCTGCTGGTGGCGCAGACGTGGGAGATGGTGATGGCGCACATCTTGAAGCACGACGGGATCGAACGCACCACGGGCCCCGCGCCCCGAGCTGCAGGGGGGAAGGACGAGTCGCAGGTTGGATGCACACAAGTAGGCGCGTTGCCGACCTGTTGGGCCGAGACCCTGTCCCCTCCTCGATGATATTCGGCCTCCTCTCGACTCTTGCTCGTCTGGCTCTCTGCCAGTCACCCCTGCTGCTCATGTTCCCAGGCCTCCCGCGGCGGCGGAAGGCACAAGGTCGCAGAGGCCGTAGATCCTGAGAATCTCAATCTGTGTCTGTAGGTGCAGGCTTGCCGCCGTCGCAGGTCGGTGGCGAGCTGGCCGCGGGCGTGGGCGAGGCCGCTCCAGGGGGCCGGAGGCGGGTGGGACGGGTGGGCCGAGGGTCTGGACGCCCGACATGGGCACGGAAAGAATGGGTACGATGCCCAACAGCAGCTCCTGTTCATTTTGAACAGGACTCGCTGTCCGCGCCGCCGCGGCCTGTGTCCACTCGAGACAGGAGGCCGCCTGCCCAACAGCGGCCGCCGTTGGTTTGGGACAACATTTGTTGTTAGGCATTGTACCCATCCTTTCCGTACCCATTTCGGGCGTCCAAAGAGGGGGGGGTGAAGGACGTGAGCTGCTGGCCCCCTGTGGGGGTACCCGCCTATGGGCTGCGCGCCCTTCGTGTGGATCGCCCCCGAAGAGGGGCAGCGCAGGCTTGGCCCGAGTGGCCCTGGGCTGCACGGGCTGTCTTCAGGTTCGTATCGCTGTCGCGACGCGACGCCCAGAAGCGTTCACGGCATCGCCCTTAGTGTGAGTTAGCCGCTTCCCAGGGCCAACTGAACTGAACTGAACTCCGCACTCCTCCTCACTCCTCTTCCTCTTCCTCTTCCTCCTCCTCCTCCTCCTCCTCCTCCTCCTCCTCCTCCTCCTCCTCCTCCTCCTCCCCCTCCTCCCCCTGCTACGTATGGCAGTGGTGGTGGAAAATGGGCCCATCGTCTTCGCGGACGGGCGGCCAGCTTGCGAGGAGGGCCGGCTCCGAGGCCGGCGTTCCGAGGGGCCGTTCGAGCTTCGAATTTCGCAGTTCGACGTGCGTTGTCGGGTTTTTTGGGGGGTCGGCGGCGAAAGAAGGGGGTAAGCGAGAAGGAGAAGGCCTCCTCAGAAGGCGGCGGGACTTCTACGAAGCCCTCGCGCCTTCGCGCTCGCCCGGGGCCCGCCTGGCCCGAGGCTGGCGGCGGCCCGCAGCAGCCAGGGGACGGCACGACGTAGCATTCTAAGTTTTCGAGGGTCTCCAGTCGGCGGCGAGCGAGGGGGGAAGTGAGAGGGAGAAGGCCTTCTCAGAAGGTTCGGAAGCCCCCCGACCTTCTGAGTAGTGTTCTGAGCCTCCCCAGAAGGCAACAGAGACTCTCAGAAGGCGCAAGGGGCTTCTGAGAAGTCCCGCCGCCCTCTGAGAAAGGCCTTCTCCTTCTCGCTTCCCCCCCATCGCTCAACGCCGAGATGGGAGTCCTTTGGGCGCCCCCGTGGCCACGGCTGGGGCTGGCTTCGCCTCGAAATTCTGGCCAGAACGGAGTGGGAGAGAAGGAGGAGGAGGAGGAGGAGGAGGAGGAGGAGGAGGAGGAGGAGGAAGGGGAGGAGGAGGAGGAGGCGGAGGAGGAGGAGGAGGAGGAGGAGGAGGAGGAGGAGTAGGAGGGGGAGGAGGAGGGGGGGGTGACCTGTTGAGCCCTGGTCTGGGTCAATGTTCGGGTTGCAAAGTTGGAGGTCTTCGGGTGTTCTCGTGGGTAATATCTCAGGAGGGGAAAAACACAGACACAATTAATCGTCCACTCCCAGGAAGATATTGGAAAATATGGGAAGTGGGGGGGAAGACAACAAAAACCCAGAAAATACTGGAAAATACGGGGAATCCTTTCATTTGTGTGTGTTTATTTGTGTGTCCTGGGGCCCCTTCAATATCAGCGGTTTCCCAGCCTCGTGGTGTTCTCCAGCGGCTGCGCCTCGCCGAGAGCGTTCCAGCTGGTGCCCAGATCGTCCCGGACGGCCGGTGGAGAGCCGAGCGATGAGTCGAGAGCCAGGGAGCAACGTCAGGGGGGAATGCGTCCAGGGTGGGGCGCATCGACCCTGAGTCGCCCATCGATGGCAGGCAGGGGCCCGATGGCCCCGTCCCGCCTGGGACGGTGCAGAGTCGCTATCGGGGGCTCATCGCCGATTTATTGCCGATCCACCGATCCATATTGGCGGTGTATCGCCGATTCCAGCATAATGTTCCCCCCCCTAGCGGGCACCCCCTACGTACCAGCTCATCTTCGCCAGGAGGGAGGGGGGTGGCCCTGGGTCGTGGAGGTTTTGCCGCTCGAACTGCAAATTTCGGAGCTCCGCGCGGATGTGATTTGTCGGGTCGGGCGTTCTTCGCCACGAAGGGGCAGGGGTTCTCTGGGTCCTAGAGTTTTTGTCGTATCTTTTTTGCTCCCTGAGCCCTCCCTGTGCGCCTGGCGCCGTGCTGGCGAGCTGGTCCCGGCCTAGTGCTTATGGGGCCAGCACCCGCTTCCACCATTTCCTCATGCCAGGGAGCCCACTCCGGGAGGCGCCCCCAGCACGCAGTGCTCTGGGTGGCAATGTGCTACAGGTTGGGTCTCAGATATTTTCTATCACCCTTCTCCTACACTGCAATACTTTGGCGCGGGCGAGTCTTGTTGCAATCCCAAATATCAGCGCCCGTCCATTGCACATCAGGGATGCGGGTAGGGGGAGTCGGAGGTGGGCAGAGTGGTGTGTGTGTGTGTGAGTGTGTGTGTGTGTGTGTGTGTGTGTGTGTGCGTGCGTGCGTGCGTGCGTGCGTGCGTGCGTGCGTGCGTGCGTGCGTGCGTGCGTGCGTGCGTGCGTGCGTGCGTGCGCGTGTGTGTGTGTGTGTATGTGTGTGTGTGTGTGTGTTTGTGTGCGTGTGTCCATCTCCCTCTCCTTCCATGTACCATCCTGGTCCTGCTTCTCCTCGATAAGGTTGGCATGCTCTGTTTAATTCACAGGACCAGTATCTAATGGGCTTCGCCCTCTCCCCCCAGTGCCTGGGTGGTGGGTCAGAGGCCGCATGGATGTTGCTTGGGATCTCGTTGTTGACCTCTCGGGGAGCTCAGGGAGGCGGTTTCGAGGCTTCTTGAGGCCTCTTGGGGGCAGTTTTGGAGCCTCTTGGGGCCACTTTGGGGCCTCGTGGTGGCCTCTTGGGGCTTCTTGGGGGCCTCCTGGGGGCCCCTTAGGCCTCTTGGGGGCCGCTTGGGGGCCTCCCTGGGGCCTCTTGGAGCAAACGGCTAGAATTTTCGGTTCCGGGTCCCCTTCCTGGGCCCCGCTTGGGGCCGCCGTGGGGCCTTCCTGGCGCGGCGTGGGCGGCTCTCGGCCCGTCTTGGGCCGTCTGTGGGCCCGCCCTCGTGGGGGCCTCTTGGGCCGCCCTGGAGCGTGGGAAAGCCGACAAGGCGGGAACGCGACTCTCCATCAACCATCCAAGGACGATCAATGATGTTGGCCTCCTGGGGCCTTCTCGGGATGCCTCCTGGAGGTCTCTTGAGGCGTCATAGGGGGCCTCTGGAGACCTCTCGGGGGGCCATCTTGGGTCTTCGGCCGATCTCGGCGCGATGCGAGGCCGTCCTGGAGGCCCCTTGGGACCCCCTGGGCGGCCCGCCTGGGGGAGCTCCTGGGCCCAGAACAGCTGCCAGGAGCCCCAACGGGGCACACGCCAAGCCTCGGAGGATTCGAACATTTGGGGTTTCCTTGCCCCTGAGAGGCTCCTCGTGAGGGATGAAAAAACGGCCCTGCCCTGGGTTACAAGTGCGTGGTCTGTAGACCTCCTGGGACCCCCCAAAGCCTAGAGCCGCCAGGACGCGGCACATCACGCAGGGTTTACCCTGTCAGCCCACAGGAGTTTCAGCGCACAGCGCCTCGTAAACCAGGGTGGGGGCGTTTTTTTATGCCCATGATCCTCAGGACTGAGGACTGAGGCTCAGGGGATTGGGCAGAGGACCTGAGGACACGCCCGCTCCGTGCCCAGGGGCACGATTTTCGCGGTTCTGGACAGCGTTTGCGGTGTCCCACGATTCTGCATTCCACTGGCTCCACTGGCGCTTGCGAGCGCTTGCCCCGCTTCTTTGAAGAGTTTCTGCCACCTGCGCGACGGCGTTCCAGCGAAGCAGACTGGGCACAGAAACGACATATTCAGTGTGCACATCCACTACGAAACCCGCCTGCTTGCAGATGCCCCACTGAATTGTCTTATCTCCCGACGGCCCCCGGGGCCCACGTGCACTGAAGCACCTCAGGACATGCAAAGACCGACGTCGACTGTTTGTCCCCAGATTTTCGATTGCAAAAAAGGATGTGCTGTCGCGTGTGCCTAACGCATCCTTGCAGAGGTCAACGACGACAAGGAGATGCTGCAGATGCTGAAGGAGTGGCGGGAGGAGACGCCCAAGAAGCCGGCGCCACCGAAGCCGGCCGCGGCGAGCGCCAAAGGCTCAGATTGATCACGCCCTGGGGGGGGGGGAGGAGGAGCAGGAGGAGGAGGAGTGGAGTGGAGTGGAGTGGAGTGGACACCGCTGCGGAGCAGGTTCAGGGTTCTAGGAAGTCATGGACTTCAAGCATTCGAACGCCGAGTCGATTGCTCAGCTCGGCTCTGGACCTTGGGGACCAACCCCCTAGGGAACACAAAACCTTGTCCGCGATGGCCCCACTCAGAGCACAACCAAACCTGAAGGGTCGGATGAACATTGAGGATGTGCGTAGTGTGGACCCACCCACCCGATGTGTATTCGCGCCTCTTTCGTCGGCGACAGGAACACCCCATCAACGTTATACAAGCACCGGCATTCTGATTCCACGAATTCCCGAGCAGTGGCGAGGGATGCAGAGCCAAAACACTTGAGGCACCTCCTCCCGCACTCGGCGAGACGGTGCCTGGACAAATGGGTAGAGACAACGGCAGCAGCAGGAGGGGCAGGAGGAGGAGGAGGAGGAGGAGGAGGAGGAGGAGGAGGGGCCTCAGAAGAGCCTCGGGGGCCACGAGACGCTTCCTTGTTCACTCTATCAGCCTCCTGACTGGCGTGGATACTGTCAAGTGTGGCTCGCAAGAGCCGCAATTGGATAGGTAAGCTTTCGTTTCAGTCATCAACGCTCTACGGTGGATGTCTACAGACAGCCTCGCTGCAGCCGCAGCGAAGCCTGCGAACTCGTCGGCCAGCAGGTTGCCTATCACAAGGTACTTGTGGGCCTCCTTCTCGACATTGTCACCAGCTGTGCAGTGGGAGTGGGTCCAAAGTACAGCGATCTCTGAATGGGATTGGTCGGTCATCGCATCACCAATCATTTTCCATACGTCGGCGTCGTCACATGCGGGGTGTAGATAGGCCTGCTTGTATCAACTTGCTGCAGCATATTCACAAACCGTCACGTAGGTGAGGAAACGCGTTGTGCACCAGAGAGCAAGATACAAGGCATACAGTTCGCCCCTGGCCACAACTTTGCTGGGTCTTCCGAGGGAACCAAACACCGTGCCACGAATACGGATCTATGGGACGATGAAGGCCACGCAAAGTATGGCAACACCGACTCGCATGAGCGTGCTGATGCCTGCATCCGCTCTTCCACTTGCATTTCCGAAGATCTCGACTGGTGACTCCGCGGTGTCAGCCCCGAACACGCCCTGGGTCAGCTCGCTGAGGCCCGTGAACTCCAGGACCGTCTCTGTCGGGGGATCTGGTACCTCCTTCCATCCTCGGGATATAAGACCCCGCAGCCAGTAACACTCCACAGACTCTGCTTGTGCCAGGGCCTCTGGTACCAGACAGTCCGATCTGGTGTATGGGGAGGTGCCTGCATTCCTGTGACACTTCCAAAATCTATAGAGCGCTGCCTCTGCATGGGATCGGCACCTGTCGCACACATTGCTGCCTGTGTACTTGGGCATCTCGTCTTGACCGCGCTGGCGTGTCCAGAAGCCGCCAGTGGCGATGTTAACTAACAACTCAGACAAACGCGCACAGTGAGGCAACTGGCGGACTGGCTTCAGGACGAGCCTGAAGGAGATGTTGTCAACTCCGCATTCAGCCCCTCCCCCACAGTAGTGCTGCGCTGCCTTGCTCTAAACAATCAATCATGCTTAGCGTCGTACATCGTGGAGCAGGTCGCGTTGGGTATCCAAGTACTTATCTCCAGTATCTATGGTGTCTGGGAATTGCCATTATTCGGTGGTGTCTCGCTGTGGCGCATACGACCATGTACCATGTATCCGCTACCTCGGGACTCCATCAAAGACGTAGTAGGGTGAGAATGGTCGCCTGTATTGGTCCACGGATAGATCGCACCTGTTGCTGGGGGTCAAGGGTGCGCATGTGGTCGCGCACGGTGGCCCACACCTGGCGAGTGCTGCGATTGATGTCAGGCCGCTGCTGCCAGACGCTGAGCCACTCGTCGACGCACTTCACTGGGATCGTAACCGCAGGGTCACCTCCTGGCGCCCTCAGGTCGAGGTGCGTTGTCAAACAGCGCCCCTTCGTCCCAGCAGCACAAATCTGTCCCAATCTCCTGCGACATTGAACCAGCTGTTGACCAAACATGCCATGCATCTGTGCGCCATAGGTTCCAGCAGGTTGGCATCCGTTGCGCTCAAGGCGCGCCGTTGTGCCATACCGCCCCGTGGCGCCACCGAGCCTCCTGACTGTCGCGTTCGTCATGCCCGTGCGCGGTCTGGCGCTGGGTCCGTGTTGCTCCGCCATGCTCCTGGCATCGCTCGGACGTGTGCATTTTTTTCGCGGCGAGAACCATCGAGGAGCATCCTTGATCATTTGGCGAAACAACCACGCACGAGACCGAAAAACCACAGGGAATCGACGTCCGAGCGCTGGCGAGTGCTTGCCGCAGCGGATGTCGACCCCCGGGCACGGAGCCCCGGTGCGTGGCCCTGCCAGGGAGGCCCCTCGAGCCTGGTGGCCCTTGAGTTTGCTGCGTGCGCGTCGGCCGCCGCAGGGCACACGACGACGGCCTGCCCGGCCAGCGTGAGGCTGACCTCGGCGAGCTCCCGGCCCGTCTTCCCTCAGGAGGGGGAAAGAGACACAGGCACAATTCATCGCCGATTCCCCAGCAAATGTGGGAGACTGTGGGAATTGGGGGGGAGACAGAAACACAGAAAATATGGGAAAATATGGGGAACATTTTTATTTGTGTGCATTCATTTGTGTGTCCTGTGGCCCCTTCCTTCACAACTCCACGGACGAGGCTGGATCGTACAGGTCTGCGCGCTCCGGCGATCTTCTGGCACACGTCGTCGATCCACAACCTGGGAGTCGTGAGCGGCGTCGCCGTGGCCACCAGCTGCAGGACAGCAAGACAGGGTGGGTGAGAATCCTGGCGGACCTTGCTCCCCCCCCCAATCCCTCGGATAATCGACTGGCAGGGCTCGAAGGGGTCGCTGGCGGCTCCCTCTCAGGAGAGCGTGCGGGCTGCTACACATGGCAAACATGCAGAGTGTAAGATACTTGGTGGGAGGTGGAGCCGCAGGCGGCCCTGGTCCAGACCAACCATGGGGTTGAGTCATAGAATGCTTGGACACCGAGTAAGCCTTGACCAGATTGTATACCCATACAATGCGCAAGCTCTTCGCAATTGCATGAAGATTTGCTTCCCTTACACAATCATTCCCATCAACTGCGGCATCCAATGCCTGTTCTTGATCTTTGCTCCCTTGCTTCACTATAGGTTCTCTGGTATCCCACGGCCTCTGGTTGCACAACAAACGATTCGAAATTGTTAATCGAGTCATGGACAACTGCACGCTGGGCCCTGCCAGCCACACGCTTGGCTGCGATGACGCAGTTCTCCAGCACCGGGGCAGGCAACTTCGACGGGTCGGCCAGCACCGAGAGCCACTGGTCCCAGGGGGCCTCGAGGCCCGCGTTGATGATGAAATGCGCCCCATCAGGTCGAGAATTGCGTGCTCTCGTGCTGCGCACGCTCTAGCATACTCGTCTCGTTGGCGCTCCGTTGTCCCTGCACCGGTGCCGCTGCACTCCTGCCATCACCGTATGGACTCGGGTCCACCATCGGCCACGTTGGTCCAGAGGGGCCAGTTCACGCAGACGAGCGGTGACCCCCAATGGCTTCTCGTCAATCCTGGGGCCTACAGCACGGGCGGTCCCAGAAGATGGCCTGACATCATGATGTTTATGGAGTGCCCTCTCGACCGCCGTCACACATGCAGCACACTGTCCTGTGAGGAGCGTGCTGTGAACAGGTTCGAGCGGAAAAGGCTACGGAGGAGGAGAGGACGGGGGAGAGGCTAGCCACAACTTCAGCACCGGACCGACAGCCCAGCTGCTGTCGATCCCTCCGACCACGTAGCAGCGGGAATTTCAAACGCAGGGTCGGGCACATCTTCGAGCCGCGGCGCCGACGGGGCAGCCTGCAGGGAGGGGTCGGGGCGAAGTAAGGGATCTACAAGGGGGCTTGAAGCCGCCGTTAAATTGGGGTGGGGTTGGGCCTCACACACCGTTGAATCAATTAACACTCACGCTGCTCTGCTCAGGCTTGTCCTCTGCTGCAGCTCCGTGCCCGATCTGACAGTGGCCTGCTCGAGCCCTGACTGGGAGTCGGCACAGACATTGAGTTCGTGCGCCCAAGAGCGTGTTTTTTTTAGACTCTGGCAAGTTTACTTGCATGGACGGGGGGGGGGGTGAGCCTGAAGCAAGCCCGGGGGGTGGGGGGCGCGGAAATCACGCAAGTCGAAAGGCACTTGCACGCTAGTATTCGCTTGAAGAGGGGCGAGGGGGGGGGGGGCGAACGCCATGCAAGTAAACTTGCCTGAATCAAAACAAAAAACAGGCTCCCAGGATCCTCCTCCTCGGGGAGCCCGCACGAGCCCACACACCTCGGGGTCCAGGCCGGCCTCCTGAGCCTCCGGAGGCGCCGACGCCCCGGGGCGCTCAGGAGGTTCTGAAGGTCCCCGAAGGCCTCCCGGAGCCCCTCGACCCGACGACGTCGTGAGCCTCCTGGCGCGTCACAGCCGCGGCGGACCTGGCCCAGCAGGACTTGGATCCAGGGGCGGGCTCGCGCTCGGGCCCCGAGAGGTGGGTCGGCTTCGGGGGAGCAGACAGCTCTTGGTCCTGAGAGTCTGGCCTGGAGCTCTCAGAGGCAGAACGAGAGCCACACGGGGCTTCCAAGGAACAGCTCGCTCAGCCGTGAGATCTTTCACAAACGAGGCAGCTCAAGGAATCATGTGGGCACAAGCGATCATTGTGTCGGGACCTTTTTTTTGTCCCGCACATGTGCCCTCCACTCCGACAGGCGTGCGGACCATGCCGCCCGTGACCCTGTGGAAGGTGGCGCGTTGCAGCTCATCTGACGTCATGTTGAAGCCGCCAGTGACCAGCCACGGCACTCGAAGGGCTCGCAGGAGGCCTCCGAGACGAGTGAATCTCTCGACGTGCTTCCCCGTCATTTTGACGGAGCGGTAGCCGTACAGGGCCGCCAATCAGGCGAACGCAAACATGGATCAGGGGGGCGTGGATTAGCGACGGGTCCCGCTTCCATGGGCAATTCCGCCGCCGAGCGAGGCGGCATTGGCCGCATTTCGGGGAGGGCACCTCCCCCGATCCATGGACTTGGCGACCGCGCGCCTAATCCGTGGATCGCCAATCCATGTCTGCGCGCCCCCGAAGCAGGACAATGGAGCAGCTGTGCTGCTGCAGGGTCATGGGGCAGAGGCCTCCGTACGCCGACTGCCTCGGTGCCCTCGGATGCTCCGCTGCAGCTCTCGAGCTGCAGGAGGAGGAGGAGCAGGAGGAGCAGGAGGAGCAGGAGGAGGAGGAGGAGGAGGAGGAGGAGGAGGAGGAGGAGGACAAGGAAGCTCTGAAATGGGGCCTTCCAGGCGGTTCGGGGCAGGAGCCGTCGAGCCCGTGGCACTTCCGTGCCTCCTCGGCGCCTCCCCTCTCCCAGGAGCCGCAGCCCTTCCTGCGAGGGGGGGCGAGGCCTGCAGGAGGGCGGCGCCCCACGGGGGCCGCGGGCGGCCCCCGTGGGCTGCCGCCGCAGAGCGGAGAGGGAGGAGGGAGGAGGGAGGAGGGAGGAGGAGGGAGGAGGAGGGAGGAGGAGGGAGGAGGAGGAGGGAGGAGGGAGGAGGAGAAGAGGAGGAGGAGGAGGAGGAGGAGGAGGAGGAGGAGGAGGTGGAGGGGCAGGAGATTGAGGAGGAGGAGGGAGGAGGAGGGGGAGGAGGAGCCCCTGGGCGGCGGCGGGAGCGGCCTCCAGGGCGGGCCGGGCGGCGCGGAAGTAGAGGTGCGGGTGCCGTATCCTGTTCTGGTGCTTCGCCCTCACCAGCTTCACCAGCCTCGAACGTATCCCTATCCCCAAGATTGGCACGCCAAAAGGCGATGACAGTCTTAGGGCTTCGCCCTCAAACAAGAAGGGAATCCCTGAGATTGGCATCATCGTGACGAGGAGGTGCCCAGCATAGGGATAGGGATATGTTCCAGGCTGGTAACACCCCCCGTTGATTGCTCCCCCCCCATTCGAAAGCCTGGCGAGGGCTGCTAAGGCCGTGGCTGCTCAAACGGCCCTCCCGGACGGACAAGACAGCTTCCCGGAGTGAGGCGCGGCACGCGAGACAGTCAACGGGCTTCTTCCCGGAAGGACGACGACAACTCCCCGGAGGTCGATTTTAGCAGCCACGGGTTTAGCAGCCCTTGCCCGGCTTCCGACCCATTGGCGTTGTGGGGGCCGATCAACGGAGAGGAAGCAGGTTGCCAAATACTTTCCAGACGTCTACAGCATGTGTCACACATTTCTTGAACATGCAAGACAAGTTGTACACATTTTTGGAGCAGTTCTCACATGTTATAGACATGATTAATTCAATGACAGGGTCCATTGTCATGGCATCTCCCCCCGTTAGCGAACACCAGAGGGGTGCGTCGCGGAGGAGTCTGCCGATTGACATCTGGCGCTCCGACTGCTGTTTGGCGTCTACCGATATGCTGGATCTTGTTATCACCGCTGCGCTTGTTGGCGTTGCCGGCACGGTTCTGCCACATAGGGCCGGTATCATAGTACTATAGATGACGTGATTTGTTCCGCGTCTCTCTTTTTCTCTCTCTCTCTCTCTCTTCCTCATCTCTCTCTCTCTCTCTCTTTTTGTCTCTCCCTCGGTGGGGGGTCGTTGGGCGTTTTTCCATTGTTTCAGGGTACTTTGCCGCATCCTCCTCCTCCTCCGACGGCGTCCCCCCAACATACTAATACTATTTGCGCGGGGCCAAGACAGGGCGACGCGCGCGCCGAAACATCTTCTAGTATATGCTCCGTGGTGGGCCATTTCTGGTCATACCGCTCGGGACACGATACATGATGCTTGTACTATACGATCTGGTCGGACGCATGCCTCCGAGGAGGACACACAGTACCCACTGGTCGTTGAAAGTCGATATTCTTGGAATCCCAAGTTCCAATCTACTTTAAGCGCCTTCCTACTTCAATGATCGAGTGGCTTCCCCTCTTCCCTCCGCTTCAGGGGGCGTGCGGAGACCCAATCTACTTCCAACTCCTTCCTCCTTCATGTTTCTACCTACTTCTTCCGACCGATGGGTGCTAGTGTGCCCTTGTGCGTCCTCTTCCATCGTCCCTATCCCCCTTCGGCCCCATGCTCTCCGCCAGCAGGCCTGCTCTGGCAGGCGGCCTGGGGCGACGACGTCCACACTCCTGCCGGCGTCGTGCTTCCTCTTTTCGGTGCAGCGCGTGACGTGCCGGAGTTCTCAGACCTCACCGAGCGTTACTCGCGGCCGGGCCTACTCGCAAACGTCCGGACACACACATGTCTGCTTCGATGGCATGTACCGTGGATCCCCCGCGGCGGACCCAAGCCATTTGCGAGTAGCTGCTTTGCGACTAGTGGAACTCGCTTGTCAAAGCCCGGCCAATGTCTCGTACGTGCTTCGCTCTGTGGGGGCCGCTTCGTCTGTGAGGCCCCCAGAACGCAGCGCAGCACGCCGTGCCGCTCCTTTCCGCTCCGGGGCGCCAGTGTCTTGTGACTGGAGGGTTCCAAAGAGGGTTTCTGGGTTTTCCAGGAGGGGTTTCCCAGGGGCTTCGCGCCCCCTGTTTTGACGAGGTTCCGAGGCTCCTGCGGGGCTCTCTGGAAAACCCCCTCCCCAAAACCCCCATTTGGAACCCTCCAGTTTGAGGCCCGGAACGGTCCCAGACATCCGGCGTCTCGTTTTTCGGGGGCGGCAAAGAGGGGGGTGATGACTAGGAGGGTTGGATATCATGGCGTGGGTCATGATATTGCCCAAGGTTTCATGGCGCCTCTTCTTATCTCATTTCGTCCCCGGCCCCCCCGCCGGGCCCACATGCCGCCGGCAATGATTTGCGCCCCCCCCCTCTTGGATGCCCCCCTCTTGGCTGCCCTCGAGTTTTTTTTCCAGGCACGGCCTCCCCGGCCTCTCGACGAGTTCCCTGGGGCCGTGTTTTTTCCAGACGAGCCGTTCTGTGGACGGTCCCGCGTCCCGGTGAGGGCCCTATAGGAGAGGCCGATGGCGAAGAGCGAAAGCCTCTGGCGCGATTTTATTCACGCGCCGGCTCACTGGGGCCCTCTGGATCGGCGGCGAGCGAGGGGGGGAAAGCGAGAAGGAGAAGGCCTTCTCAGCAGGCGGCGGGACTTCTCAGAAGCCCTCGCGCCTCCTGAAAAGTCTTTTGCCTTCGGAGAGAAGGGAGGACTTAATTACTGGATAGGTATGGCACGGGGTAAGTCCGTGCATGATGCGATTGGCCGTCTCAGACGGGGTGTGGGGGTTTTTCTTATTTTTTTTGTTATTTTTTTTTTCTTTTTTTTTTTTTTCTTTCTTATTTTTTTTTTTTTTTTTTTATTTTTTTTTTTTTTTTTTTTTTTTTCTTATTATTTTTTTTTTTTTTTTTTTTCTTCTTTTTTTTTTTTTTTTTTTTTTTTTTTTTTTTATTTTTATTGTTTTTTTTATTTTTTTATTTTTTTTTTTTTTGTCTCACTTCTCGGCTACGCGTGAGAGTGACCTTTCGCTGGAGTGACCTTGGGTCTGGGCCCACTGGGGTCCCCCGATCGCCGGACGCGATGCGGCAGTAGCGTCTTGCGCGCCTGCGTTCGGCCCCCCCGCGGCCCACCAAGGGTCACTCTTGCCCAGGGCCGCTCCTTGCGTGCAGCTGAGCTTCCTTTCCCTCGCTCGCCGAAGCGACGTCGTAGCAGAAGGCCACGTCGTGCCGTCCCCTGGCTGCGGCGGGCCGCCGGCGGTCGCGGGCCGGGCGGGCCCGGGGCGAGCCCCGTGCCCCCCCCCCCCGTGCGGGAGGCTTCGGGGCGCCGAAGGCCGTGGACTTCTCCCGCGCGGTGGCCGGGCGGGGGCTCCCTGTGCGCTGGGGAGGGTCGTAGTCCGGGTGGTTCCAACGAGGGTTGGGGGGAGGGGGTTTTTTGGTGATCTCCAAACCAGGTGGTGAGACACCCGGTGGTGACCCCGATTCCCCCAAAAAATAATTCTGGGTCACCACCGGGTTTGGGGACACGCGGTCGCCACGAGGTTTTGCGTTTCCTGGGCCAGCCAGCGCTCGAAAACCATTACCCAAATCGCCCAAAACTCACCACCGGGTGTTCTCACCACCACGTTTGGGGACCAAGTTTTCCACGAGGGTTCCCCCAGGGGCTTCGCACCCCCTATTCTGACAAGGTTCCGAGGCCCCTGGGCCAGGGGGGCTCTCTGGAAAACCCCTTCCGCAAAGCCCCCCGTTGGAACCCTCTGGGTAGAGTGAGGTTCAGGGGAGGGCAAGCCGAAGATGAAGAAAGGCCATAAACAGAAATTGCTGGCGCTCCGCGCGAATGTCTTGGATTCCTGCTGCCCCCCCCCCCCCCCCCGCGGCGCCTCTGACGCCGCACTTGGCGCGCCTCCGCGCGCCAGGGAGGGTTGCCCAGCGCCGATCCAGGAAATCCGCGCGGAGCGCCAAAAGTTGATGTGTTTGGCGTTTTTTCCCTGCCTAGGCTCTGCCTAGAAGGGTTCTTACTCTCTTAGCTTAAAGGGGCGGGCAGTGTAAAGCGCCCCTGGCGGTTACCCCAGTCCCCGCCCCGCGGTTCCCCCAGTCGCGCCCCCTGGGTTCACCCAGCTTAGCTTAGCTAAGCTTAGCTAAGCTTAGCTAAGCTTAGCTAAGCTTAGCTAAGCTTAGCTTAGCTTAGCTTAGCTTAGCTTAGCTTAGCTTATCTCATCTTAGCTTAACTTAGCTTAGCTTTGCTTAGCCTAACCTAGCTTAGCTTAGCTTAGCATAGCTTAGCTTAGCTTAGCTTAGCTTAGCTTAGCTTAGCTTATCTCATCTTAACGTAGCTTAGCTTAGCCTGACTTAGCTTAGCCTGGCTTAGCTTAGCTTATCTCATCTTAACGTAGCTTAGCTTAGCCTGACTTAGCTTAGCCTGGCTTAGCTTAGCTTAGCGTAGCTTAGCTTAGCCTAGTCTAACCTTGCTTAGCTTAGCTTAGCTTCGCTTAACTTAGCTTAGCTTAGCTTACCTTAGTTTAGCTTAGTTTAGCTTAGCGCATCATAGCGCAGCGCAGCATGAGCACATCATAGCATAGCATAGCATAGCATAGCCAATCATCGCATAGCATATCCTAGCTCAGCAACACATAGCATGTCATAACGCAGCGTAACATATCATATCATAGCATATCATTGCTTAGCATAGCACAGCGCAGCATATCATAACACATCACATCATAGCATAGCATATCAAATCATAGCATAGCATAGCGCAGCATATCATAGCATATCATAGCATAGCATAACATGGCGCAGTATAGCATATCATAGCACAGTATCGCCTAGCATATCATAACATAGCGCAGCACAGCATAGCGTAGCATAGCATAGCGCAGCACGGCATCCACTATTGCTGCTTTCCTAGAGGCTCCAATTCCTAGGTAGGGTCGCACTGGGATAATCTTGTTTCTAATTGGTACTGATACCACTAACATTGCTTCGTTTTCCCCTGTTGGGGCCTCCTGGGAGGCCTTCGTCGCCACCGCTGCATTCGCCTCGAAATTCCGGTCAGGACGCCTCCCAAGAGAGGTCCGGGGAACACAGGCATTAGTTATTTATGGTTCCTCCAGCGGTACTTCTACGTTCTTGTATTTCGTATAGTTTGTTATGCGGGGCAGTTGTCATCGACGTCACCGCCAGATTGTCCTCGGGGGCAGTGTTTTACAGGGCCAGTGCCACGAAGCAACCGCCACCGCCAAATTGTTCTGTGTGCCGACGCATATTAGTTTGCTCTGTGGAGCAGTATATGTTCTACGACGCCACCGCCAAATTAAACAATGCGAAGGTTTCCCTGGCAAGCGATCGTGATGCCAGCCCCTTGTCAACTCTCGATGGCACACCAGGGGCACTTCGTAGTTCACCATCGGCGCCCTCATCTCACCAATTTCAGAACGTCGCATCCAAGGCATTTTGAGGCGGCACCGTCGCCAAGTGCTAGCGCGGCAAGCGCGAGCTCGACAGAGAGCCGGAGTCAGTGACATGGGGATCACCGCCACCGAGAAGCCGTCGGGGGATTTGGGCGCACCCAGCGGGGCGAGGCGAGGGGGGCGAACGAGGCAAGCGGGCACCTCGTCCTGGGGAGGCGGCAGACGTGCCGGGGCTCGAGTGCGGCAGGGAGCTGGGCCCCGGAGGGGGCCCCCTCTGAGGCCCCAGAGGCGCGGCGCACGCGAGGCGCACCCTGCCGGGCAGCGCCCGAGGTCAGCCAGGGGATGGTGGAACAGACACGCAGACTTCGGTCGGGCGTGCCCCCCTACAGGGGGATCTTCGACGACCAAAAAGAATACCCCCAAAGTGCCCCAAAAAGGTAAAAAAAGAAAATACCCCCAAAATAGTCCCCGGACTGTGTTTGGACTATTTTTTGTTTTTCGTCGAAAATCCCCCTGTAGGGAGACAGGCCCGACTCAGACACAGACAGAAGCCTTGCGTCGAGGTGGACGCGTTAGCACGAAGAATGACGGGCACAACCCAACGCTGCAACCGGAGGGCCGGCGGCGCTCGAATCACAGAGGCGTGGCCAAGCGCCATACCTCAAGACGACGACGGTGAAGGAAGACGAAGCATGGAAAGGACAGCTCTGTTCAAGCATGTTGCGACGGGGGATGGTGGGACGTATGAGGAACCTGGCAGACCAGGCAGTAGCGGGCAGGGTACTTTATTGGGTTGGGCCCGGATTTGCGGGAGCCGTGCATGCGTCGGCGAGTGAGACGGAGAAGGCCTTCTCAGAAGGCGGCGGGGCTTCTCAGAAGGCCAGGGGGCATCCGAGCCTTCTGAGCAGGCCCGCCCCTTCTCACCCTCCCCCCGGGCTCGCCGCCGAGCGCGAGGGGCCTTCATCCGGTGCTCCTGCGCGGTGCCACTCGGGACAGCGAAAGCTGCGTGCGCCCGCTCGCGCAACATCACATCAGCGCTATGATGTTCCAACCTACTTTAGCCTTGATCACCAGACAGAATTTCGAGCCCCAAAAAAGTACCGAAACTGTACGGTTTTCACGTGTCGGGCCCTGGGAGACACTCGCCCGACACTTTTTCGACACTGGTTCGGCACTCTTTCGACACTTTCCCGCGTGCTCGAAATCATGTCTGGGATGTGGTCCTGAAGTACGATGGGAGCAACATCACATCAGCACCCGTGTTGGCCTAAGTGTCCTCTCGCGATCGGGGACCTCGGGCTCGCGACCCGACCCTCGCGGACGGACCCTGCGCGGTCGCAGGGTGGGGGTTGGCGGCAGGGGGAGGGCAGCGGGAGTGTTCGAGCAGGCGAAGGAGTGGCCGAGGGAAGGGCATGAGGGAGGGGGGGGGAGGTCGTGGACTTCGTGGGCCCCGGAAACGGCAGGGCCGTTTTTTCACCGTTTCCGAAAAAGTGCCCCTTGAAAATGGGAACGGCAAAAGAACGGCAACAGAAACGGCTCCAGGATTGGAACCGGATCGGGAGCCCGTAACATAACGGCGACGGAAACGGTAAATTAGCTTGACAAAGGACCCAACCATATGCAGGTGTGAGTACCGCAATTGTGATTCACTTTTTCGGTGGTGATCCTTATGAGGCAACGAACCGTGCTAGGGGCGTGCCAAAATTAGTGACGTGGTACACAACGCGAACGAAAACGACAGATCTTAGTACGTAGGAAGACTGAGCGCGGGTGAATCTGAGCGCGAGTGCGTCTGATTGTGAATGAATCTGCGTGCGAGCGAGTCTACGTGCATGAATGCGAGTATGACAAAGCATGGTGTAATTGTGTATGAATGTCAATAGTTTGAGAACGACTGCCTCTGAATACTCGTGACGCTGGGCGTGACCGCCGCAAGGAGCTTCCCTGGAAATCCCCGGCGGCATCGCCCGCGCGCCGCGACGCCAATGTCGGCGCGCCCCCCCGCGAGGATCGCGCCCGCCTCCTCCCCTTCTTTTACTCCCTCTTTGCCCGCGCACTCAAAAGTCCAAGGCTGCGGGCGCAGCACAGCGCGGAGTCCCCGCGACGCGCGCAGGTCGCCCCGGAGGGGCCCCAGCGACGCGCGCGGGTCGTCCGCGGCGCGGAGCAACGAATGCTAGTTGGCTGGCTGATAGCGGGCAAGGCTCTTGCCACTGGGCAGAGCGACGACGGGCGAGCGAGGCGCTGGCCTATGGGGCCACGAAACGCTGTACTGGCTGGGGGAGACGCATGCGGACTGCGCCAAGGGGACCTTCGGTGGGGCTCCATATGGGGCCACGAACCGTTGTAGTGGGTGAGGGAGACGCATGCGGACTGCGCCACGGGGACCTTCGGTGGAGTTCCCATACGGGGCCACGAAACGTGTGAGGGGTGTGCCGAAATGAGTGGTGGGGACGCATGCGGACTGTGCCACTGGGACATTCGGCGGAGCTCCTCTGGGGCCACGAAACGTGCGAGGGGTGTGCCGAAATGAGCGGCGGGGACACATGCGGACTGCGCCACGGGGACCTTCGGCGGAGCTCCTATGGGGCCACGAAGCGTGTGAGGGGTGTGCCGGAATGAGTGGCGGGGACACGTGCGGATTGTGCCAATGGGACCTTCGGCGGAGCTCCTATGGGGCCACGAAGCGTGTGAGCGGTGGGCCGACGTGGGTGGCGGGGGCGCATGCGGATTGTGCCACTGGGAACTTCGGCGGAGCTTTTGTGGGGCCACGAAACGTGTGAGGGGTGGGCCGACATGAGTGGCGGGGACGCATGCGGATTGTGCCACTGGGACCGTCGGCTGAGCTCCTATGGGGCCACGAAACGTGCGAGGGGTGTGCCGAAATGCGTGGCGGGGACGCAGGCGGATTGTGCCACTGGGACCTTCGGCGGAGCTCCTATGGGGCAACGAAACGTGTGAGGGGTGTGCCGAAATGAGTGGCGGGGACGCATGCGGACTGTGCCACTGGGACTTTCGGCGGAGCTTTTGTGGGGCAGCGAAACGTTTGATGATGTTGATGATGCTGATGTTGACGATGATGACGACGATGGTGGCGATGATGACGATCATGATGATGGTGGTGATGATGATGTTGTTGATGATGATGAGGGGAGGGGAGAAGGAAGGAGGAGGAACGCGGGGCGACGTCTCTTCAAAACGAGGACCCAACACCACAATATGGTTGGGACAACGACAACGTCGGAACCGGCAAACAAACGGCAAAACGGAACCGGTAATTAGCCTGGCCAAGAACCCAACCATATGCACTTGTCAGTACCGCAGCTGCGGATTTCATCTTCAGCGGAACTCCCCATAGGACTACGGAACGTGTGAGGGGTGTGTCGAGATGGGTGCCACTGGGGCATTCGGCGAAGTTCCCTATGTGGACATGAAACACGCGCGCGGCGTGCCGACATGGGTGGCGGAAACGCATGTGAGGGCCGCCACTGGGGATTCCAGTGGAGCTCCCTATGGGTCCCCGAAACATGATGCTGCTGCGGGGGGGGGGGGCCAGGATGGGTGGCGGAGACGCATGTAAGCGCCGCTACTGGGGCCTTTGGTGGAGCTCCCTATGGGGCCACGAAGCGCGTGAGGGGTGTACTGGGATGTGTGGCGGGGACGCATGTGAGCGCCGCCGCTGGGGCCTTCGGTGCAGGTCCCTATGGGGCCACGAAGCGTGTGAGGGGTGTGCCGCACTGGAGCCCTCGGTGGAGCTCCCTATGGAGCCACGAAGCGTGTGAGGAGTGTCCCGACATGGGTGTGCGGGACGCATGCGGACGGCAGCACTGGAGCCCTGAGTGGAGCTCCCTATGGGGCCACGAAACGTTTGAGGGGTGTCCCGACATGGGTGTGCGGGACGCATGCGGACGGCAGCACTGGAGCCCTCGGTGGAGCTCCCTATGGGGCCACGAAACGTGTGAGCGGTGTCCCGAAATGGGTGTGCGGGACGCATGCGGGCGGCAGCACTGGGGCCTTCGGTGGAGCTCCCTATGGGGCTACGAAGCGTGTGAGGGGTGCGCCGTGAGCAGAGGCAACAAGGGAGAGGAGGGCGGAGGGAGGAGGCAGCGGGAGGAGGAAGGAGACGCGGGGCACCGTCTCTTCAAAACGAGGACCCAACACCACAGGATGGTTGGGAAAAAAAGGCCCTGCCGTTTCCAGGGCCCACTAAGGTCGTGGATGGGGGAGAGGATCATGGAGAATTTGCCTGGCGAAGAACCCAACCATATGCAGTTGTTAGTACCGCAGCTGCGGGTTTCATCTTCAGTGGAACTCCCCATAGGACTACGGAACGTGTGAGGGGTGTGCCGAGATGGGTGCCGCTGGGGCATCCGGCGAAGCTCCCTATGGGGACATGAAACACGCGCGGGGCGTGCCGACATGGGTGGCGGAAACGCATGTGAGGGCCGCCACTGGGGCCTCCAGTGGAGCTCCCTATGGGGCCACGCAACATGATGCTGCTGCGGGGGGGGGTCCGGGATGGGTGGCGGAGACGCATGTAAGCGCCGCTACTGGTGCCTTCGGTGGAGCTCCCTATGGGGCCACGAAGCGCGTGAGGGGTGTACTGGGATGTGTGGCGGGGACGCATGTGAGCGCCGCCGCTGGGGCCTTCGGTGGGAACCCTTATGGGGCCACGAAACGTGTGAGGGGTGTGCCGAATTGGGTGCGGGTGGTGACGCATGCGGGCGGTGCCACTGGGGCCTTCGGTGGAGCTCCCTATGGGGCCACGAAACCTGTTGTTGTGAGGGGCGTGCCGGGATGGGTGGCGGGGACGCATGTGGGCGCGGCCGCTGAGGCCTTCGGTGGAGCTCCCTATGGGGCCACGGAACGTGTTAGGGGTGTGCCGAATTGGGTGGGTGTGGGTGACGCATGTGAGCGCCGCCACTGGGGCCTCCGGTGGATGATGGGGCCACGAAACCTGTCAGGGGTGTGCCGAAATGGATGCGCGGGACGCATGCGCATGTGAGCGCCGCCACTGGGGCCTTCGGTGGAGCTCCCTATGGGGCCACGAAGCGTGTGAGGGCTGTGCCGAATTAGGTGTGCGGGACGCATGCGGGCGGCAGCACTGGGGCTTTCGGTGGGGCTTCCTATGGGGCCACGAAACGTGTGAGGGGTGTGCCGAATTTGGTGTGCGGGACGCATGCGGGCGGCAGCACTGGGGCCTTCTGTGGGGCTCCCTATGGCCACGAAACGTGTGAGGGCTGTGCCGAATTAGGTGTGCGGGACGCATGCGGGCGGCAGCGCTGGGGCCTTCGGTGGGGCTCTTTATGGGGCCAGGAAACTTGTGAGGGGTGTCCCGAAATGGGTGTGCGGGGCGCATGCGGGCGGCAGCACTGGGGCCTTCGGTGGGGCTCCCTATGGGGCCACGAAACGTGTGAGGGGTGTGCCGAATTGGGTGTGCGGGACGCATGCGGGCGGCAGCACTGGGGCCTTCGGTGGAGCTCCCTATGGGGCCACGAAACGTGTGAGGGGTGTGCCGAATTGGGTGTGCGGGACGCATGCGGGCGGCAGCATTGGGGCCTTCGGTGGGGCTCCCTATAGGGCCACGAAACGTGTGAGGGGTGTGCCGAATTGGGTGTGCGGGAGGCATGCGGGCGGCAGCACTGGGGCCTTCGGTGGGGCTCCTTATGGGGCCACGAAACGTGTGAGGGGTGTGCCGAAATGGAGGATGATGACGATGATGATGGTGGGAGGAGGGAGGAGGGAGGAGGGGGAGGAGGAGCGGGAGCGTGAGCGGGCGCTGTCTCTTCAAAACGAGGACCCAACACCACAGGATGGTTGGGAATAAAAAACATAGCCAACAAAGACAAGTTGAAGACGTGGCCTCACTCTGGTCCCCGTCCTTGCACGAGGGATATAACTCTGCGCGGTCTGGGTTGACGCATCTGCTGAAAAAAGCCTCATCTCCCAAATGGCTTGGGCCTCTTGGCTCAGGTCCCCACTCAAGGGGTCAGGGTTCTTATCAGTGCTTAGCCGGGGAGTCCAAGCGAGGGCGTGTACGCCTCCTCCTCCTCCTCCTCCTCCTCCTCCTCCTCCTCCTCCTGCGCTCGTGGGGCCACTGCCGTCTCTCCCTCTCCCGAATTTCCCCGGACAGCCTCCGATAGGACCTCTGCTCGGGCTCCACGGCCCCCGGAGGCCCGACGGTCTTCGGGGGCCCGCCAGAGCGGCTCCTATAGAGGCCGAAAACACCGAGCGGATGCGCCGCAGCTGAAAACATCAGACATGTCATTCCCCCCCCGCGTCCTCCTCCTCCTCCTCCTCCTCCTCCTCCGCCTCCTCCTCCTCCGCCTGTTTTTTTTGGACTCAGGCATGTTTACTTGCATGGCGTTTCGCCCCCCCCCCCCCCCCCTCGCCCCTCTTCAAGCGAATACTGGCGTGCGAGTGCCTTTCGGCTTGCGTGATTTCCGCGCCCCCCACCCCCCAGGCTTGTTTCAGGCTCAGCCCCCCCCCCCCCGTCCATGCAAGTAAACTTGCCAGAGTCTAAAACAACAGGCTCCAGTCTCCCTCTAGATGTCTTCCGGCGGGTGCCGGCAGAGGAGGTGGCAGTGCGCAGTGGCGGGCAGGTGGACCTGGAGGTCTCCTCCGAGCCGAGACCGCTCCGAGCCAACGATGCCATCGAGGAGGGGCACCCTGATACCCTTGTATCTCCCTTGCCACTGCGATACCATTGTATCGTCTGCCGTTCTTGGTCACGATGGTCCAGAGATCCTTCTGGGCACCAGGATGGTATAGAGATGACGGCCGCTTGATTTGATTTGAGGCGCCGCTGCGACAGCGTAGGCGCGCACCCAAATACCCCATACATCGCACTTCATGTTTGACGCATAGTCACTTGTAGCGACGAGGTGCTACAACGAGGTGCAACCATGAAGCCTCTTTCAGAAACACAACGCGACGAATTCGTTTATCGTATCCCCACCTGCTGCCCCATCCAGAACCGATGCCCAGGCGAATTGCCTTGATCAGGTTCGGGCTCAACCTGAGCAGACCCAGGAGTCAATAAGGGGGGCATTGTGGAGGCTTGTTTGGGCCACCTTGGGATCCTTTATCGGTGCCATTTTGGAGGCCGTTGGGACTCCCTTGGGGGGCTTCTTGGAGCTCTAAGTTGGTCCTCTTGAAGGTGTTTGGGTGGGCTTTCTGTGGGGAGTCTAGGAAGACATCGTTCCAGCACGGAAGGACACTAATTTACCAGAGGCGGCGCCCGAGTCACTGCTTTTGGGGGCCCTCGTGAGACGATCTTGGGCATTGCTGGAGCCGTCTGAAGATTCTTCTGAGCCCCTCTTGGGGATCGCTTTCTGGGGCGACCTTCGAGCCAGCTTGAGGTCACGGGGGCCCATCATGAGCGTACAGGCGAGAAGTTCAAATCTGGCCTGGTCCCGCTATCCCGCTTACAGTGGAGGCCCATGCCAAGAAACACCCTGTTTGCTTTCAGGGTGCCCTGGGTTTCTTGGGTTTCGATCGTTTTGCCATGGAAAGCGTGACGTTCCCACACCAGAGACCGATAGACGTCCTGGGGTCTCAGGGTTGGGTCTCCTGCGGAAGGTTTCTTGCGGCCGGGCCCCTGTTGCACTCGGCCCTCGGCCGTTTCCGCGACGGGCTTCCCAGAGGTTGTTCCTCGAGATGCTCGGGGGCGGAAAAGAGGGGGGTGATGACTAGAGGGGGGTGGATATCATGGCGGGTGCCATGATATCTCCCCAGATTTCCTGGCGCCTCTTCTTGTTTCATGACGTCCCTGGCCCCCCCGCTGGGCCGCGCACATGCCGCCGGTCATGATTTGCACCCCCCCGTCTTGGACACCCCCCTCTTTGCCGCTCCCGAGATGCCCCCCCCCCTCTCCCTCCCCTCCCCCCTGCCCTCTCGATCGGCGCAGCCCCGCTCCAGGCCTGCGGGGGGGCCTGAGCTCGCAAGCCTGTCGAGGCTCGTGCCGCCGCCAGCCTGGTCGACGTCCTCGTCGTGGTCGTCGTCGTCGTCGGCGTGTTCTTCGTCGTCTTCATCATATCCGTTCTCCTTGCTGCCCATGCGCCTCACACGTTTCCCTCCCGCCAGCACTCGGCCTGCTCATCGTCTTCGTCGCCATCGTTCTCTCGTCGTTGGGTTTGGCTCGGCCCCTGTGGCATAGCCAAAATGGTTTGAAAAAGGTTCTAACAGTTTCCTTTTCCGGGCTCGAACCTGCGCATTCGCGAAGCGCGCGCGTGGTTCAGTCAAATGATACCATGCGGCGCGCACGCATAGATTTGATAAGTGCGGCTCGTACGAATACAAAATAAGATCACCATGCGGGCCAAATGCATGCGCCGCCGCGATATCATGTCTTCTTTAAGACAGGAAACGGTTGCATCTGGCTTCCGAAGGATTCCAAAAGAGCTGTTCAAACGACTCTTGAAACCCCATGCTCTTTTAGCGAAATAGTGTCAGAATTCTGCGCGCACACTCGCTGACATCGCGAGACAGCAGTAGGTCGTTGGCTATTCTGTCAAATGAGAGCATACGGGCAGCACACGCACGCATAGGTCAAAAACAAATTAGCCTGGCGAAGGACCCAACCATATGCAGTTGAGAGTACCGCAATTGTGAATATCTTCTTCGGTGGCGCTCCCTATGGGGCCACGAGCCGTATGAGGGGTGTGCCGAAATGCGTGGCAGTGTACACGACACGAACGAAGACGATAGGTCCGAATATGAAAGCTTGAGCGCGTGCGAGTCGGATAGCGAGCGAGTCTGATTATGAATGAATCTGCGCGCGATTGATTCTATTCGCATGAATGCGTGCATGGATACGCCCAGTGTAAATGTATGTATACGACTGTGAACAGTTTGGGTCTGCGTGACTCTCGGTACTCGTGACTCTGAGCGTCGCCTCTGCAGGGGGCTTCCCTGGGAACCCCGACGGCAGCGCCCGCGCGCCGCGACGCCCATGTCGGCACGCCACACACCTGGTGTGCGGGACGCATGCGGACGGCAGCACTGGGGCCTTCGGTGGAGCTCCCTGTGGGGCCACGAAACGTGTGAGGGGTGTGCCGAAATGGGTGTGCGGGACGCATGCGGACGGCAGCCATGGGGCCTTCGGTGGAGCTCCCTATGGGGCCACGAAACGTGTGAGGGGTGTGCCGAAATGGGTGTGCGGGACGCATGCGGACGGCAGCACTGGGGCCTTCGGTGGAGCTCCCTGTGGGGCCACGAAACGTGTGAGGGGTGTGCCGAAATGGGTGTGCGGGACGCATGCGGACGGCAGCCATGGGGCCTTCGGTGGAGCTCCCTATGGGGCCACGAAACGTGTGAGGGGTGTGCCGAAATGGGTGTGCGGGACGCATGCGGACGGCAGCACTGGGGCCTTCGGTGGAGCTCCCTGTGGGGCCACGAAACGTGTGAGGGGTGTGCCGAAATGGGTGTGCGGGACGCATGCGGACGGCAGCCATGGGGCCTTCGGTGGAGCTCCCTATGGGGCCACGAAACGTGTGAGGGGTGTGCCGAAATGGGTGTGCGGGACGCATGCGGACGGCAGCACTGGGGCCTTCGGTGGAGCTCCCTGTGGGGCCACGAAACGTGTGAGGGGTGTGCCGAAATGGGTGTGCGGGACGCATGCGGACGGCAGCACTGGGGCCTTCGGTGGAGCTCCCTGTGGGGCCACGAAACGTGTGAGGGGTGTGCCGAAATGGGTGTGCGGGACGCAGCTGGGACGGAACGCGGACGCATGCATGGGGCCTTCGGTGGAGCTCCCTATGGGGCCACGAAACGTGTGAGGGGTGTGAGGGGTGTGCCGAATGGGTGTGCGGGACGCATGCGGCCGGCAGCACTGGGGCCTTCGGTGGAGCTCCCTGTGGGGCCACGAAACGTGTGAGGGGTGTGCCGAAATGGGTGTGCGGGACGCATGCGGGCGGCAGCATGGGGCCTTCGGTGGAGCTCCCTATGGGGCCACGAAACGTGTGAGGGGTGTGCCGAATTGGGTGTGGTGACGCATGCGGGCGGCAGCACTGGGGCCTTCGGTGGAGCTCCCTATGGGGCCACGAAACGTGTGAGGGGTGTGCCGAATTGGTGTGCGGGACGCATGCGGGCGGCAGCACTGGGGCCTTCGGTGGGGCTCCCTATGGGGCCACGAAGCGTGTGAGGGGTGTGCCGAATTGGGTGTGCGGGACGCATGCGGGCGGCAGCACTGGGGCCGGTGGGGCTCCCTATGGGGCCACGAAACGTGTGAGGGCTGTGCCGAATTGGGTGTGCGGGACGCATGCGGGTGAACTGTGATTCGGTGGGCCTGATGGGGCCACGAAACGTGTGAGGGGTGTGCCGAATTGGGTGTGCGGGACGCATGCGGGCGGCAGCACTGGGGCCTTCGGTGGGGCTCCCTATGGGGCCACGAAACGTGTGAGGGGTGTGCCGAAGTGGGTGATGACGATGACGACGATGACAATGACGATGATGATGATGATGATGATGATGATGATGATGATGATGATGATGATGATGATGATGATGATGATGATGATGATGATCATGATGATGATGATGAGGATGATGCTGATAGGAGGGGAGGGGAGGCGGAGGAGGAGGAAGGAGGAAGGAAGGAGACGCGGGGCACCGTCTCTTCAAAACGAGGACCCAACACCACAGGATGGTTGGGAACAACCATCGCCCCGCACCAGCCAACTCAGACAAAAAATGCCAGGTGGGCCACGCGCGTGTCTCTGCTCGCCCACGTCGAACTTTAGCATTTTGCGTGCGCATGTGTCGTCATCGTTTCCGTAAACACCATCGTCATCATTCTTGCCAGCGTCATCATTGCGCCGTCATCACCACCATCACCGTCACCATCGAGGCCGCCATCGTATCCACCGCCGCCATCACACATTACGTACCAGTTTCAGCGTCAACATATCTCACGTCGCCTTCAGCACCATCATTACCATGAGCGTTAACATCACAACGCGCCACCACCATCACCATACTCTCCATCCATCACCGCTGTTTCGTTCGAGCTGTCTGTCTGGACTCCTCCCTCCTCCTCCCTGCCCTGCTCCTCCTCGCCTCCTCTCCTCCTTCTCCTCTCCCTGCTCCCTCTCGTCCTTGCCCCCCTGGCGCTTTGCCCCGCGCCGTGCCGGGAGGAGCTGATGAAGCGGGGGCAGGCGTATGCCGACCCGGTGGAGCTGGGCCCGCAGCAGCTGATCACGGCGCCGACCGCCGCTCCTCTGCTCTCGCCGCTCCCTCCTCGTCCCTTTCGCTGAGGTTTCGGTGGGCCTCGCCTTCGCCCGCAAATGGCGGCATCTTAGCGGGCCCCCACGAGGGCCCGACGCACGGGTACGACGCAGCTGCGACGAGGATTCGACGCGATTGGCGGCGCGATGGGCCCCCCCCCGGCAGCGCATCACGTGACATCCCGCCAGCCAGCTACGGTACGGGTCTTACTTGGGATCTCTTTTGTGGCGCCGTTCATTCGCGACGGCCTCCGAGGTCCAGCGGGGCGAGCAACGCACACACACACACACACAGACACACACACACACACACGCACACGCACACGCACACGCACACGCACACGCACACGCACACGCACACGCACACGCACACGCACACGCACACGCACACGCACACGCACACGCACACGCACACGCACACGCACACGCACACGCACACGCACACGCACACGCACACGCACACGCACACGCACGCACACGCACACGCACACGCACACGCACACGCACACGCACACGCACACGCACACGCACACGCACACGCACACGCACACGCACACGCACACGCACACGCACACGCACACGCACACGCACACGCACACGCACACGCACACGCACACGCACACGCACACGCACACGCACACGCACACACACACACACACACACACACACACCCGTAGCCATTTTGGCGCAAGGCAATGCGTCACCCGACGACCGCAAGTCCGAGAGGGCGTTTCGAGCGCGAGGGGTCGCGCTTTGAGCCAAATTCTCGGAAAACTACTTTCTTCTGGGCCGCCCTGGCCACCGTTGCTTTTTGGGGAACTGTATTGTGTGGCCCCCACACACCGTGCGCAGTTCAGGAGCAGCCATGGCGCCAGTCGGCCGCAGGGATGAGCAGCGCTCCAAGTGGTGCTGCAAGTGGTGCAAATGGCGAGATGGAAATCCATTCGTCAATTACCCCGATAAGCTGGCTTGTCACTCGTGCGGTGTTTCGAAGTCGGCGGCGTTCAAGTGCAAACCAGAACCTAAAGATCCTTCCTCTCGTAAGGGGCCCAAGTCGCCTGGCAGCGCAGGTGGCACGCCTCTGGAGAAGCAGCTCTTGGCCATGTCTAATAAGGTCACGAAGCTGGGCAAGGAGCTCAAGAAGAAGCAGGTGCAGCCCATTGCTGCCGATGCCCAAGACGCCGAGGTGGACTTGGTCACGTGCAGCAAGGCTCGCATGGCAGATTTGGACGGCCTCATCGCGCGCCTCAGCCTCACGAAGCCGCTCCCCCCCGAGATCGAAGAGGTGCTGGCTGGCTACCGCAAGGAGGAGGAGTCTATTCGTGCCCAGGTGCTTCAAGAGAAGCCCGACTCGGTCAAGGTGCAAGACAAGAGTTGTCAAACAAGATTAACAGGCTGGAGAAGCAGCAGCTTCGCTGGCAATCTACTTTGGAGGAGAAGAAGGCTAAGCTCAAGGAGCTTCAGGCTGAGGTTACCGAGGGGGAGGAGGCCATGGCCAAGGCGAGGGCTCATTTGGTGGCTGTCCAAGCTGAGCGAGCTCAGCTGTGTGCTGCTCTTCCAGGGCCCCCTGTTGAGGCTCGTGATGATGGCGATGGCGATCGCTACTCGCTGTCTACGATGTGCCAGGTGTTGCAGCGCATGGGCCTGCAGCATTCGCTCTCCACGAAGGTGGAAGGCGTGGTCGCCGAGATCCGCGGGGCCGTGGCGGCGGCAGAGAGGGTCAAGCAGGAGGAGGCTGCGCGTGCTGAGGCTGCCAAGGCTGAGTCTGCTGGCGTGGCAGGCGCTACAGACCTTGAAGCAGGTGGTGGCCTACCGCAGAAGATGCGGCCATGTCTGATGCAGAGCTCGAGGGGGCCTCCACGGCTGAGCTCAAGGCCTACCTGGAGGCTTGTGGGCTGGAGCAGCTCGCGGGTGGCGCAGGTGATGATGTTGAGCTTCGCGATGCAGTCAAGCGTTGTCTCAAGCCCCCTCCTCGGCAGGAAGTCAAGCGCCGTCGGACGGCAGGTGTTGGCGCCAGTGGCGCACGTCACAGCTAAAATGATGGTGCTTCCAGAAAGTCAGAATCTTGATTTTCAGCCGGTTGTGCAGCTTGGTTCGGACAGCCAAGCGGAGCGTGTTCGCTCAGGTGCCTGTGAGCACCCCCCGTGTGCCCAGGGGCAAGGGCCTTCTGCTTGCGAGGCCCGCCGCGGTGGGGTGGCCGATGCCCTCGCGCATGCAGCTGCTGGAGGCAGCCTGGTGAGGCGCTGCGACGCTCGCACCATCGCCCCCCCTGTAAGTCCGAGCGGGGCCCACAGCGGTGGGGTGACCGATGCCCCCGCACATGGAGGTGGTCATGGCGGCATGGCAAGGCGCTGCGACGCTCGCCCCGTCGCCCTCCCTGTAAGTCCGAGCGAGGCCCACAGCGGTGGGGTGGCCGATGCCCTCGCACACGGCGTTGCTGTTGGCGGCCTGGTGAGGTGCTGCGGCGCTCGCCCCGTCGCCCTCCCTGTAAGACCGCGCGAGGCCCACCGCGGCGGGGTGGCCGATGCCCTCGCACATGAAGTTGCCGATGGCGGCGTGGTGAGGTGCTGCGACGCTCGCCCCGTCGCCCCCCCCCCCCCCCTCCTGTAAGCCCGAGCGAGGCCCGCAGCGGTGGGGTGGCCGATGCCCCCGCACAGGGAGTTGCTGCTGGCGGCCTGGTGAGGTGTCGCGATGCTCGCCCCATCGCCCTCCCTGCACGACCGAGCGAGGCCCGCGGATGTGGGGTGGCCGATGCCCTCGCACGCGCAGTTGCTGCGCCTTGTGGCCGATGCCCTCGACCGACGGCTCAGACAGGTGCTGCGATGCTCGCCCCACTGCCCTCCCTATAAGTCTGAGCGAGGCCCACCAAGGTGGGGTGGCCGATGCCCTCGCACATGGAGTTGAGGATCGTGGCTCGGACGACTGGCGCGACGATGGCCACGATGATTCCCCTGTGCGCCACTTGCCGCACAACATGGATGGCGAGATCGACCCCTTCGATGAGCTCGACAGGCAGCTGGACATGCAGGAGTTGCTGGAGGCGCCTCAGTCGTCGCCAATGTCGCTGGACGCAGTGGAAAACCAGAACGCCCTGGGGCCTGGCGGTCCGTCAGGGCCTGGTCGGGGCCCCTCCCCGCTGGTCGCACTACCCGCGGGGAGGTCGTTCGTCGCCGAGTTGGACGATGGTGGAAAACGCCAGGCCCCAGGGAGGTCGAAGCCGCGACGTCGACGACCTGAGCTGCCTGAAGATGCACCGTGGACAGCGAGAGATCACTCGTGACGGCCTGGGTTACAGGTAGTTACGGTCAGCGCCAACTCGCACGGGACGTTGATGCGGCACCTCAGCACGTCGGAAGCGGACGTAGTGCTGGCCCAGGAGACGCATGCGATTGCAGTGAAGCTCCATGAAGTGCAAGCTGATGCGCTGGACATTGGCTGGCGTGGCCAATGGCTGGCTGCCGCTCCCACCGTGGTCGGGGGCCCAGAAGGAGGGGTGGCAGTCCTTGCGCGCACCAGCACTCAGGTGACCACGGCGCCCTTCCTCAATGCAGGTGATCTTTTTCCCAGGACGAGCAGTGGCAGGAGTGGTGCATGCAGGTCCTGCTCGTGGCCTGGTTTGTATTTCCGTGTACTTGTACACGGGCGAGGGGCTCTCGCCACGCAACCTCGCGATGATATGGGAGGTGCGCAAGTTCGTCAAACGAGTGACCGATGCGGGTTACTCATGGCTCATTGCAGGGGATGTCAATATGACCCCAGACGAGCTGTTGGAGCACAACTGGTTACACCTGGTCCATGGAGTACGTTGTGCGCCGCCCAGCCCCACCTGTTTGCAAACCCTCCCTGGACGAGTGCTGGACTACTACATCCTACACCGTTCGCTCACAGATGCGGTGGCTTTCTCCCTGGACGCGATGGTTGATGCGAGTCTGTGGCCTCACCAACCTGTCCAGCTGCAGCTCCCACATGCGAAGTTGGCCCTGCAGAAGCGAGTCTTGAAGCAACCGAAGGCTTTCCCTACGCTGAAGCTCGGTTGTGCTCGCTTTCCTTGGAGTTGGGAGAGGTCATTGCAGAGATCCAGCAGGTGCAAGATGGCGAGCAGCTCGCCGCGGTCTGGGACCTCACGCTGGATGGTATCGAATGGGAGCTCGCCAACCGTCATGATCTGGTCGGCCGGCAACGCGCTGCTCACCTTGGTCGAGCAGGCCCTCCTGAGCTGCGGCACATGCCAGTTGCCTGGGCGAAAGCCCGACGGCGCGACAGGTGTGGCAAAAGAGCGCATGCTTGGGAAGTGGCGTCACGGCGGGCCAATCACCTGCAGTCTGTCCGCCAAGTCTTGCTGCGGGACATCGGCGCGCTGAACGACACAGGTGTGGCGGCCGAGCCAGACCCCGAGCTTTTGCGACGAGTGGGGCAGCTCGTGCACGAGCTAGAGGTCTACTCACGGAAGCTGCAGCGCCAACATCATCTACTTGACTTGCTTGATGATGAGGCCCGCGCCCTTTTTGGCGCCGGTTTGGAGGGGCTGGCGCTCGCCACTTTCGACGAGCAGGTGGACCGCATGTGTGCGCAAAGTGACGAGCACGCCCGTGCTGCGGAGGCGAAGGCCACGGCTGCTTGGCATGAGTAGGCCAAGGCTGGCTTCGACGGCGGCGCTGGACTTGCTCACAGGTTCACTAAGGTGAAGATGGAAGTTGAGGTGCCCACGGCAGGCAGCTCGTGTCAGCCCACGGCTTTGGCTGACGCGGAGTTAGAGGCGTGGGCAGGCATCTGGCAGCATCATCAGCTGCGCGAGGTGGCCTTCCCCGACGGCGCGGAGAGCTGGGGCGACTTGGAGCCTATCACGGTGGCCAGGTTGCGCTAGGTGCTGTACACCTTTCCTGTGAAGACTGCTGTGGGACAGACGGGCTTACACCCAAGGCAGCCTGACCAGCTGTCGGACATGGCCTTGCACACGGTCTCGTTAGTGTTCACGC